ACCAGAATCTCTGGGACACATTTAAAGCAGTCTCCAGAGGAAAACATATAGCAATAAATGCCCACATAAGAAGCAAGGAGAGATCTAAAATTGACACCCTATCGTCAAAATTGAAAGAGCTAGAGGAGCAAGATCAAAAAAACTCAAAACCTAGCAGAAGACAAGAAATAACTAAGATCAGAGCAGGACTGAAGGAGATAGAGACACAAAAAACTCTTCAAAAAAATCAATAAATCCTGGAGCTGGTTTTTCAAAAAGATCAACAAAATAGACAGACCACTAGCCAGATTAATAAAAAAGAAAAGAGAGAATAAACAAATACATGCACTAAAAAATGATAAAGGGGATATCACCACACATTCCACAGAAATTCAAACCATCATCAGAGATTACAAACAACTCTATGCACATAAATTAGTAAACCTAGAAGAAATGGATAAATCCTTGGACACTTGCATCCTCCCAAGCCTAAACCAGGAAGAAGTCAAAACCCTGAATAGACCAATAACAAGGTCTGAAGTTGAGGCAGCAATTAAGAGCCTACCACCCAAAAAAAGCCCAGGTCCAGATGGGTTCACAGCTGAATTCTACCAGACATGCAAAGAGGAGCTGGTACCATTCCTTCTGAAACTATTCCAAATAATCCAAAAAGAGGGAATCCTTCCCAAATCATTTTATGAGACCAACATCATCTTGATACCAAAACCTGGCAGAGACTCAGCAAGAAAAGAAAACTTCAGGCCAATATTCATGATGAACATAGACACAAAAATCTTCAATAAAATACTGGCAAGCCAATTGCAACAGCACAACAAAAAGCTTATCCACCATGATCAAGTAGAATTCATCCCGGGTATGCATGGTTGGTTCAACATACGCAAGTCTATAAACGTAATTCACCACATAAACAGAACCAAAGACAAAAAACACATTATCTCAATTGATGTAGAGAAGGCCTTTGACAAAATTCAACAACCCTTTATACTAACAACCCTCACTAAAGTACGTATTGATGGAACGTATCTTAAAATAATAAAAGCTATTTATGACAAACCAACAGCCAATATAATACTGAATGGGCAAAAACTGGAAGCATTCCCTTTGAAATCTGGCACTAGACAAGGATGCCCTCTCTCACCACTCAATATAGTACTGGAAGTTCTAGCCAGAGCAATCAGGCAAGAAAAAGAAATAAAGGGTATTCAAATAGGAAAGGAGGAAGTCAAATTGTCTCTATTTGCAGACGACATGATTGTATATCTAGAAGACCCCATCGTCTCAGCCCAAAATCTCCTGAAACTGATAAGCAACTTCAGCAAAGTCTCAGGATACAAAAATCAAGGTGCAAAAATCACAAGCATTCCTATACACCAATAATGGTCTTAAAGAGAGCCACATCAAGAACAAACTGCCATTCACAATTGCTACAAAGAGAATAAAATACCTAGGAATACAACTAACAAGGAACGTAAAGGACCTCTTCAAGGAGAACTACAAGCCACTGCCCAACGAAATAAGAGAGGACACAAACAGATGGAGAAACATTCCATGTTCATGGTTAGGAATAATCAATATCGTGAAAATGGCCATACTGCCCAAAGTAATTTACAGATTCAACGCTGTCCCCATCAAGCTACCACAGACACTTTACAAAAGAAGACATACATGAGGCCAACAAACATATGAAAAAATGCTCATCATGACTGGTCATTAGAGAAATGCAAATCAAAACTACACTGAGATACCATCTCACACCAGTTAGAATGGCGATCATTAAAAAATCTGGAGACAACAGATGCTGGAGAGGATGTGGAGAAATAGGAGCACTTTTACACTGTTGGTGGGAGTGTCAATTAGTTCAACCATTGTGGAAGACAGTGTGGCGATTCCTGAAGGACCTAGAAATAGAAATTCCATTTGACCCAGCAATCCCATTACTGGGTATATATCCGAAGGATTATATATCGTTCTACTGTAAGGATGCATGCACACGAATGTTCATTGCAGCACTGTTTACAATAGCAAAGAACCAACCCAAATGCCCATCGATGATAGACTGGACAAGGAAAATGTGGCACATATACACCATGGAATATTATGCAGCCATCAAAAACGATGAGTTCGTGTCCTTTGTAGGGACATGGATGAACCTGGAAACCATCGTTCTCAGCAAACGGACACAAGAACAGAAAATCAAACACCGCATGTTCTCACTCATAGGCGGGTGTTGAACAATGAGAACACATGGACACAGGGAGGGGAGCATCACACACTGGGGTCTGTTGGGGGGAAATAGGGGAGGGACAGCGGGGGGTGGGGAGTTGGGGAGAGATAGCACGGGGAGAAATGCCAGATATAGGTGAAGGGGAGGAAGGCAGCAAATCACACTGCCATGTGTGTACCTATGGAACAATCTTGCATGTTCTTCACATGTACCCCAAAACCTAAAATGCAATAAAAAAAAGAAAAAAAAAATTAGCCAGGGATGGTGGCACACACCTATGATCCCAGAGGCTGAGGCAGGGGAATTGCTTGAACCTGGGAGGCAGAGGTTGTAGTGAGCCAAGATCGCCCCACTGCCCTCCAGCCTGGCGACAGAGCAAGACCCGACTGAAAAAACAATTTTTTTAAAAAAAGAAAATTTGGGCCTAATATGAAGAACTTCAAATACATTAGACTTCTCCACATTAAATTAGCCTGAAGAGCGGTGAACTCTATGACTAGAAGTAAGTGGTCAAGCAGATTTAGATGACTATTAAGAAAATCCTAAAAGCAATTCTTACACTAGGGGGTAAGAGTAGGAGGTAGATTTGAAACAGATATCTAAGGCTCTTCCTATCTTGGAAAAGTCTATAGCTACCTTGTTAGTTGCAGGCAAGAATACTAAGATGATACCCACCACAGCTATTTTTAGAGTAGTGGGTGATCTCAAGAAGCAGAAATGAGGCCAGTAATCACCACTGAACTTCATATAAGACCTAGAAGGCTTTGTGATCTTTACATGTTTGTTAGAAAAGGTGCTGGGAGAGAGACCAATGATGGTCAGCCTACCTGACTATGAGTCAACAGTTAGCCCAACCAGTACAACAGAGCCCTCCTATTCGCACTCATGACAATGATGGATGTACCAGTCTCAGAGATTGCAGTTTTTCCTTTCTGCTTAAGTGAAAAGCAATTTGAAAAGTCCCCTTTCCCCTAATGCCCTCCCTATTTACTTCTTTTCAGTGCACAGAAAATGCTGAAACTTCAAGAGTCTGAAATTATCTGTATTTGGGGAGAGTACCAACCCAGCAGCATAGATGTTATTCCTACATAACAAATTCATGAGAGTTTTTTGGCTCTATATTGAAAATGGAAGACTGGTGTGATTTGGTGGGTCTATTTGAAGGGCTTACAGAGGAAATCCTGAAAAATGCCCTTTTCACTTCCCCAATTAAACTTCTAAGTTGGACTGGATTAAGCATGTTTTTACCTGACCCTTAGAATTATGATAACATAAGTGGGCTGTGACAGTCTTTACCCTAAAATTTATGAAACCTGGAATAACTTAACAACATTATGAAACCAGGAACAATATAAGAGGAACAACAATTAAAATTTAGTTCTGGGGCATCTGGGAAGATAACCCTCAAGTTATATATACATCTGGTGAACTCAGTTGCCAATCTTAAATCTTATGCCAGAAACACTCCAATCAATTAACAAATATATACTGAGAGGCTATTGTGAGCAAGAACTCATATTAAGTTAAATGAAAGACAAGACCATTGTGGGCTCCCTGAGTTATGACTATAGCTGATTATTGCTATAGGCAGGGTATAATAAAACTTAAATAACACACAATGGCTCTCATATAATCCTAAATATTTTAGAAAGTGTAACTCAAATTCCTTCCGTAGTACCTTCAACAGGGGTACTTTAAATAGAAACCAATGGTATGATGGCTCATGCCTGTAATCCCAGCATTTTGGGAGGCTGACGCAGGAGGATTCCTTGAGCCCAGGAGTTCAAGACCAGCCTGGGCAACATGGCGAAACCCCACCTCTATTAAACAATACAGAAAATTAGCCAGGTGTAGTGGTACATGCCTGTAGTCCCACCTACGCAGGAGGCTGAGGCAGGAGAACCCCCTGAGCTTAGGAGATCAAGGCTGCAAGGAGCCGTGATCATGCCACTGCACTCCAGCCTGGGTGATGGGAATGAGACCCTGTCTCCAAAAAAAGAAAGAAAGAAAAAGAAAAAAAAAAGAAACCAAGCTTTAGTCATTCACTTAAAACCTGTCACAGTGAAAGGAGCATAAAGCAGAGGAAATTCTGAATATGTCAAATAGTGAAAATAGCTCTAAAGACTTCATCTGCTGAAAGACTTGTCCCTATAGATACAGCCCCACCCAGGATTGGTAACATTTGCTTAGCAAAACATTTTTCTGGAAACCAGTAAGATATTTGAGAAATTAGAGCTTTTAGGTAAAAATAAACATTTTTTAAAATTATAAACTTAATTTTTAAAAATTGCCAAAGATTATTACAATCATATGGATAGCTCTTGCAAATTAATGAGAACAATGGATAAAATGAGTGTTGTAATATTTCAGAATCGATATTTTAGTATGTCTTTAAAACAGATAAACCATCTCAATGTGGAAAGATATACTTTGCAAATTACCAACATTTCCTCCTTTCTTTTGGTATAAGTAAAGAAATGAAAAGAGAATGAACTACTGAAAAGCAAATCCTTCATACTATGTGTATTTGACAAGTGGAAAGCATCTGCAGGTTGGTCTGTGGGCATAGTCATAGCAACACAGATCCCCTGTCAAGTCAACTCCAGGAACCAGAGAGCACGGAGCTTTGTGGTTGACTATGTTTATTTACCTATATGGCAAGCAGAGAAGATAGATGGTTTGGTAAAAAGGGCAAACCAGACAAGAAAATTTGTATATTTTAGGGCTTCCAGTTAAGTTATATGCTTAGTAAGTGGAGAAAAAACATTTGACTTACCTGCACTGCCAAGCTGTTTATAAAATCTGTACTCTAAATGAAGCTGTGGAGCACGTGATTTTATTGGTTCCTGAAACCCACAAAGAAAAACTGATCAGATTTAAACAAATGGTATTTTTCCATTCTTAAATTTTTGGAGTAAACAAGGGCTACGATCACCTAGTGTTTTAGAGATAATATCCATATTATAAGAGCCTTTTCTAACCGCAATTTGTCTTACACAGTACAGCTAAGAGAAGATGAAGGTGAATTGCATACAACTCCTTCCATGGATAGTTAAATAAACTTTGCATGACAGCTTTCTTGCAATGAAATATTCCCCGATATGTATTCTCCCAGGAAACTTGATGCTAAACCTTTAAATTAAAAAAAAAATTCCAGCATGTATTTCCTGCTTGTTTTGTTCTGAATTTTGGGTGGTACATGGTTTTATTATTTTTAGAAAAATAATGTATGCTCAGAAGAAAATTCAAATATACAAAAATCAGAAAGAAAGTAAAAATAATCTGTCATCCTGCCACTCTAAAGAAAGACACTATTAACATTTTAGTGAATGTCTTTCCAAGTATGTGTGTGTGTGTGTGTGTGTGTGTGTGTGTGTGTGTGTGTGTGTATGCATTTATATGTATAATACAAACTAATGAACTTAATTTTATATAAATGAGATTATGATGTATTTGCTGTTCAGTAATGTGCTGTTGAATTCAACAATGTGATAACATCATCTCATGGCAGGAAATAAATGTGTATAATTTCCATTTTTTTTTTTTTTTTTAAAGATGGGGTCTCATGCACTACAGTTGAACCTCCCAAGCTCAAGTGAACCTCCTAACTTAGCCACCACCGCTCACAGCTAATTTTTATTTTTTTGCGGAGATAGGATCTTACTATGTTACCCAGGCTGGCCTCAAATTCCTGGGCTCAAGCAAACCACCCACTTCAGCCACTCAAAGTGCTGAGATTATAGGCATAAGTCTGGCCTACATAATTTTTAATGGTTGAAGTATCGCCCTGTATGTATATAAGTATTTATGTATGTATGTATACACACGCACCCCATAATTTTTGGACACATGAACTGTTTTCATTTTCCAATATTATGAACAATGCTTTTAGAAACATCCTTATGTATATTTCTTTTTAAACTATTGAGAATTAAAGATTGTAAATGCAATTAATGTAATTCAATCAATATGGTGTTCAAGTTTCCAAAAATGGCATTTTCTAAAAACGTCATAGATAAAGCAGCCAAACAACCACACTTTGTTCTATATCAATTGAGCAACCGGCTGGCTGATTATTCTAAACTGACAGTGTATTGGGCAACTGGCTAACAAGACAACCAAACATTACCCTAAACATATTATAATCTCTCTTTAAAAGCTCAACAGTAGCTGACATGGTGGCTCATGTCTGCAATCTCAGCATTTCAGAGGCTGAGGCAGGAGCTTGAGACCAGCCTGGGCAACACAGCAAAACCTCATCTTTACAAATAAATAAATAAAATAGGACAAGCATGGTGGCTTACACCTATAATCCCAGGACTTTGGGAGGTTGAGGCAGGAGAACTGCTTGAGCCCAGGAGTTCAAGACCAGCCTGGGCAACATAGGGAGACCCTATCTCTACAAAAAAACTAAAAAGTTAGCCTGGCATGGCAGCACGCTCCTGTAGTCCCAGCTACTCAGGAGGATGAGGTAGGAGGATTGCTTGAGTCCCAGAGATCAAGACCGCAGGGAGCTGTGATTGCACCACTGAACTCCAGCCTGGGCGACAGAGTGAGACCTCGTCTCAATCAATCAATCAATAAAATAAAGCTCAACATCTGCACACCCATTAGGATGGCTATTATCAAAAACAGAAAATAACAAGTATTGATGAGGATATAGAGAAACTGGAACCCTTGTGCATTGCTGATAAGAATGCAAAATGGTGCAACTGCTATGGAGAATGTATGGCAATTTTTCAAAAAATTAAACACAGAATTATTATGATTTACAATTCTACTTCTGGATATATACTCCAAAGAATTGAAAGCAGGAACTCAGATATATTTGTACATCCATGTTCATAGTATTGTTATTCACAACAACTAAAAGGTGGAAGCAACCTAAGTGTGCATCAATGAATAAATAAACGAAATTGGGTATATTCGTATATATGAAGTATTATTCAGGCTTAAAAAGGAAATTCTGACACATGCTACAACACAGACAAACCTTGAGGACATTATGCTAAGTGAAATAAGCCAGTTACAAAGGATGAATATATCATGAGTCCACTTAATATTAAGTACCTAGTGTAGTCAAATTCATGGAGACAGAAAGTAGAATGGTGGCTGCCAAGGGGTTGAGAGGAGGGGAGAATGAGGAATTAGTGTTTAACAGATAAAAAATTTCAGTTAGGGAAGAGAGATGGATGGTGATGATGGTTGTACATCAATGTAAATGTACTTAATGCCACTCAACTTTAAAAAATTGTTATAATGGTAAATTCCGGATATCATGATATCATCTGTTACTAGACAATATTATTTTCTCCTATTCCAATCCATGGGTTGCCTTTGAAAAATTCTGTTGACAGTGTACAAAAGTTTTAAATTTTGCTGAAGTCCAACTTAGTGAGTTTTTATTTTGTTGTCTGTGATTTTGGTGTTATATCCAAGAAATCACTGCCAAATCTAATGTCATGAAGCTTTTCCCATGGTGTATTCTGGTAAAAGTATTATAGTTTCAATCTTACATTTAGGTCTTTGATCCACTCTGAGTTAACTGTTGACTACAATGTAAAGTAAGAATCCAACTTCACTGTTATGTGAATATCCAGTTTTTCCAGCATCATTTGTTGAAAAGGCTGTCCTTTCTCCCACTGAGTGGTTATTTGTTTTATTTATTTTTTTTTTTTTGCGACAGTCTCGTTCCGTCTCCAGGCACCAGGCTGGAGTGCAGTGGCACGATCTCGGCTCACTGCAACCTCCGCCTCCCGGGTTCAAGCAATTCTCCTGCCTCAGCCTCCCGAATAGCTGGGACTATAGGCACACACCACCACGTCCAGCTAATTTTTGTATTTTTAGTAGATAAGGGGTTTCACTATGTTGGCCAGGGTGGTCTCGATCTCTTGAGCTCGTGATCTGCCTGCCTTGGCCTCCCAAAGTGCTGGGATATTTGTTGTATTTTTAAGACAGACTCCAAGGAAGAAGATTCCATAACTTCCCTCGATAATTCGTGCTGATATTTAACAAGTTTCATGGTTTGGAATGCTTTTATATTACACTCAAATCTCATTACTGAAACTTAAGCCTATTTTTTCTTAAGTTCTTAGCAAAAAAAAATTTTTTTAAGCTCCTCAATAATCTTGAATACTAGTAAGTGGCTCTCTTCAAATAACAAAATAATCCAATCATTTCCTAGATTTTCTTTTCTCGGGCAAGGTAATTTCAAATTCCTTTCACCTTTCCTCATTGGTTCCAGTTTTTAATTCTTTGATCATCTTTGAAGGTTCTTTCCTGAATCCACTTGAAGTTCTCTGCATTTTTCTTAAGACATAAAATCCATTAATCAAAGAAATCTCTGAAGCTGTCTAGTCTATCCCTCTGCTTCTAGGAAGATTTTATCTAAATCAATTCAGGCCAGACTGGAATGTTCCTATCTGTAGGAAATGCTATGAAGAAAGAACTCATATCCTTCGAGTATAAAATCAGCAATTATTAGAGTTGGACTTCAAGTATCTTAAGACTTTTAGTCAAAAGAAAAGTACAGAGGCTGGGCGTGCTGGCTCACACCTGTTATCCCAGCACTTTGGGAGGCCAAGGAGGGTGAATCATGAGGTCAGGAGATTGAGACCATCCTGGCTAAAATGGTGAAATCCTGTCTCTACTAAAAACACAAAAAACAAGCTGAGTGTGGTGGCACGCACCTGTAGTCCCAGCTACTCGGGAGGCTGAGACAGGAGAATTGCATGAACCCGGGAGGCAGAGGTTGCAGTGAGCCAAGATCGCACCACTGCACTCCAGCCTAGGCGACAGAGTGAGACTCCACCTCAAAAAAAACAAACAAACAAAAAAAAAAAACAGAGCAGAAGACTAATTATACTGTAGAGTCCCTTTCTTATTTATCTCTTCAGATAGAGAGGTATCATATCACTCTTGTGTCTCCATTTGGTTGCAGATCTTCCACTGAATCACCATCAAAGCAGCCAGGTATAGAATTTTTCCATTAGCAAAATCAGTAAGAATTCACAAGGGACCAAACAGAAACAGTGATGACAAATCAACATGGAACTAGAAGTTGATGAAAACACCAGAAAAGGGACTATTCTTTCTGGAGAAATCACTTTGGATTCTGACAAAGCACAGAGGCAATGAATTTTAAAAACCACAGATGCTTCCTCAAATATTATACTCTCAATCTTCATGCTGGAAACCCTAATAGAAAATATTCAATCTGATCTTGGGTAGCTAAGCTAGTAAATTAAAAATGCAAAACTCTATAGAGTTCAAGGGTTGAAAGGCATATATGTCACATATATTCAGACATGAGGGTCTTATTATTGAATGACACACTTGAGCCAACTCCTTACCACATGGCCATAGTCTGCTCAGCCAATTAGACTTCAAGGTGCTTTTCTGGAAGCACTATAAGTAGAAAATACTGCAAAGCTCAGTCTACAGATTGCAGAAGGCAGCAATATTAGTGGCATAGAGAGATTTTTTTTAAAAAACCCAATTGTTAGAAAACCTCTGTTAAAAAGAACCCTAGAAATGTGGGTGATGGATAAAAGAAGGGCTGATTACACTATTTTGTTTACTTTGTGTACTATTTTTTTAAGGCTCTTAGAAATCTAAGAAATAAGAGTTCACAATGAAGGTTCAAACAAAGTAGAATTGAAACAGCAACAGCAAAGCTTCCTTGTATTTCTGTACCAGATGTGAATTACATTTCCATAGAGGGCTGGACATTTGCCAGAAAATTTGCTGCAATAATTCTGGAAAACACATGCCTGCCTAAAATCCTAAACAAACAGCAACAGCTACCTTGTGGGACTGTGGTGCTTAAGGCAAATTTGCCATTACAATGAAAAGAGCTCAATTACTGCCTTTTATGTCCCTTTGGAGAACAGAAGCCCAACAGCAAGAGAGAAAGCCTATAGACAAAATTGTCAACCTCTAAAATACCTTTCGGACTTATTTGAAAGGGGGATGTGGTACTGAGTCACACTTCCTAGATTTTAAGAGTTCCATTTTTAGCTTTAAATAGTGTCTATACAAAGCAGAATAAAAGTTTTTAAAAAGAAAAGGGAAATGAAATGATCAATCATGTCAATGATATGTTATGTAAGGTTATCTATACAGGTCAATTGGTATAACCTAGCAGAAGAAATCAAGATAGAAAGAACTGTCCCTAACAGAAAGCCTAACAAATATGTAGTAATGCGGCAAATTTTTAAAGTGTTTTACGAGCTGCTTCATTCTCTTAGTAGTCACAAATAATCAAAGATTATTCTAACTTATCAGAATAATAAAACAGAAAAAGTAAAAATTAAAGCAGATCTACTAGAGAACACTTTTATAGAATAACCAAATTCTTATAAATAAAAAAATATGGTTAATCCTATTTTTTTGAGACAGGGTCTCACTCTGTCACCCAGGCTGAGCACAGAGGTGCAAGCAATCTCGGCTTACTACAGTCTCGACTTCCTGGGCTCAAGTGATTCTCCCATGTCAGCCTCCAAAGTAGCTGGGACTACAGGTGTGTGCCAGCATACTTGACTAATTTTTTGCATTTTTTGTAGAGACAAGGTTTTGCCTAGTTGCCCAGGCTGGTCTTGAACTTCTGGGCTCAAGTGATCTGCCCACCTTGGCTTCCTAAAGTGCTTCGATTATAGGCATAAGCAACTGCGCCTGGCAGTTAATCCTTTAATATTCAATCTAAAAGGATATTTGACCTGCATTGTTATATGTATTACCTCTCTTCCTGCTCCCATCTATCCAACAAGAGTCCCAAGTCAAAAAACAAAAAGAAAATACTTGGTTTCCTAGAAGTTATCTGCTGCTCTAAGCCCTGCTCCCTGTCTGTCCACCCCTTTGTAGGGAAACAAATCTGGTAACTGTCAGTTCCTCACAAGACAACCCTAAGTCCTCCACAAGCAAGCTGGATGAGAACGACCAATCACAGAACAAGTGTGGATGTGGTAAGTGCAATTCATTAGAAAAGAACAACACTGCCAGGTGGTGGCTCACACCTGTAATCCCAGCACTTTTTGGGAGGCTGTGCTGGGTGGATCACCTGAGCTGAGGAGTCCGAGACCAGCTGGGCAACCTGAGGAAACCCCATCGCTACAAAAAACACAAAAATTAGCTGGTGTAGTGGTGCACACCTGTAGTCCCAGCTACTTAGGAGGCAGGCTGAGATGGGAGAATCAGTTGAGCCCAGGAGCCAGAGATTGCAGTGAGCCAAGATCACACCACTGCACTCCAGCCTGGGCAACAGTGTGAGACCCTGTCTTCCAAAAAAAGAAAAAAGAAAAAAAAAAAAAAAGAAAAGTATAGCACATATTTCCTTCAATTTCCTCCAACCATTAACTCCTCTGGCTTCCAATTAATAAAACCCAAAGTTACTGTAAATCCTGGGACACTTACTAGGAGAACAAACAGAGTTTCAGTGAAACTACTCATATGAAACATTTCACATGAAAAAATAGTTTTGTTAACAACCTTAAATATAAGATAAAGAGTTCTGTCTTCTAAAATTATTAGTCCCCAAAAATAAGAAAATTATTACTTCTCTTTTTAATAGGATATCATTTTCAATGACTAGTTTAATTATTCATAAAGTTAGTATCAACATATCATTTAACTTCTTTGCTTCTAATGTGACCATATGGTATGTTTTTCGTGCTTGACAGATTTGTAAGGCCATGATTAGATAATCAGACATGATTTTCTTCTAAGTACAAAAAAATCAGTCAAGTTAGAGGGAAAAAAATTTTTTTGAATGATTTTATCTTTTTAATTATGATACCTACGTTAAAGATATGGTTTATAGAATTACTAGTTCTCCCAGCTTTTTTTAATCAACTAATTTTTGAGTCACCATTGCTAACATCATAGTTAGCATCATTTAACTATATAGTGTTATCTAGTATAGAGTGATTCACCACTGTAACACTATAATTGAAGAAAAATTACTGTGAGATCATATGCAAAAAAAACCCCAAACCATTAGTATTTTTGTGAATGAATGCTTAAAATTATTTCCTATAAAAATATATAAGCAATGAGAGCACCAAAACATTAATTACAACAAACAGATTCTACTCACCAGTTTAATTGCTACATATTCATTGGTGTAGAGATTTTTACCTAAGGGGAAAGCAGATGTATATGTTTTAGTGACATTTATTCTGGGAAATGCAAAGCAAAATATTATCTCATAGGGTCATGAGAAAGGTTATAGTCCCAATGCTGTTCATATAAATGAAACTTAATTTATAAGTGAAAGCTACACAGATAATGGGATCCAGCATCACTAGAACAGCTTAAAATTCAGAAATTTAAACCACACATGAGAATTTTCTTAAAAGAGAAAACAAATCATTCTCTCCTACACACACACACACACACACACACACACACACACACACACTTGTTATTTAATATTTCCCAACTATTAAGCCATAAAGCAATTCAAGAAGAAATCTCAGAATTTCAAAGAGATTTTCACTCTTGGCACAGTAAACACAAACTTTCATCCTTCACACTAACTGGCAAATAGAATTCTATATATTTGGTAATGGTATTTAGCATCAACTTTAGACGGCATAAAGGATAGTGTGAATAAAACCAATTATTGCCCAAACCTCCTTTTGGAGAATTCATCTACTGCTTGTAAGCAGATGATTCTCAAAGCTGTTTTGACTGTTTACCAGAACATTAGCTTTATATCTTTAACTATTTACAGAAACAGATCTTCAGCCAGACAATACTTAGACATCTCAAAGCCCTTCCTGCAGTATAACAGTTTTCCCTTTAAACCTTCCTATTTCTACAAATGTAATCAATATTCCTAGGCATTTAGACTAAGAACTTGGAATGATGATGAGGACCAGCGCAACAACTATCACTTAGTGAACCTGTATATATGCTGGGCACTCAGTTCCTCTCACCTCCCTACCCTCACTGATCCTTGAAAGCCTTTACTTTAATTCCTTCTGAGTGTTTAGTACATATCATATAGTTTAGCCATTGCACTGAACTTCATATCTCTTCTTATACATTTGCCTTATCTTACACAGCGAGAGTATAGATATCTTGAGAATAGGGATTTTAAGTTTTCTTCAATACCCCATGGTGCTTAAGACCATGTTCAGCACATATAAAACACCCAAAACACTCAAAATCTCAACTGATTAAAAGCTATTGATACTGTATATACAGTATGATTATTTTAAAAATAATTTATCAGTAAATGTTATATTCCTAGAATACACAGCTGAATATATGTGCATGAAAAAGAATATAAAATAGTTTATTTTAGTATTTTCTGATTTGTATATAATCCATTGCTTTTATAAATAAAAAAACAAGCTGGGCGCGGTGGCTCACGTCTGCAATTCCAACACTTTGGGAGGCTGAGGTTGGTGGATCACTTGAGGTTAAGAGTTTGAGATCAGCCTGGCCAACATGGTGAAACCCTGTCTCTACTAAAAATACAAAAATTAGCTGGGCATGGTGGTGAACACTTGTAATCTCAGCTACCTGGGAGGCTAAGGCAGGAAAATCACTTGAACCCGGGAGGCCTAGGCTGCAATGAGCTGAGATCACACCACTGTAATCCAGCCTAGGTAACAGAGTGAGACTCTGTCTCATAAATATATAAACAAAAAAACACAAAAAGCTGCTTACAAGTTCTCATTTAACAAGCTCTAGACAACAGAAGGCCCTCTGCACTATAACTACATCATTAAATTTTTCATACTGCCATTGGATTGCTGAGTACCTTTACATGTCAAAGAGTACACTAATTTAGGAATAATTTTCGTCTGCAAATAAGATAAAAAGAAGACTAACAGGTTGGTTTTTTAGGTCAAACACCTAAGAAACCATAAGATAAACAACTTCTTTTTTAGGCACAAATAGAAAATAGCCATAACCCCCCTATATATAGTATTTGCATTAAGCTTCTAATATGCTTCTTATTCGTGTTCCCACCAAAACAATTTTAAAATATATTTCATGAAATTATAAAAAGGATAGTAATAAGAAAGGAATAGATGAAACTGTAACAAATAGCCAACTCCCATGCAGATTAATACTTTAATTTGGCCCAGGACTTCTTGCACACCAGATGTGATGCTGCACAAAGATTTTTCAGGACAGCTCTTCCTGAAATGAAATTAGCATTGTTACTGTGACTTAAAACTAATTTTAAGGCTAGGTGCAGCGGCTCATGTTGTAATCCCAGCACTCTGGGAGGCCAAAGTGGGAGGATTACCTGAGGTCAGGAGTTCGAGACCAGCCTGGCCAACATGGTGAAACCTCATCTCTACTAAAAATACAAAAATTAGTCGGGGGTGGTGGTAAGCACCTGTAATCCCAGCTACTTGGGAAGCTGAGGCAGGTGAATCACTTGAAACCTGGGAGGCAGAGGTTGCAGTGAGCCAAGATCATGCCATCGCATTCCAGCCTGGAAGACAAGAGCAAAACTCCATCTCCAAAAACAAACAAACCAAAAACAACTAATTTTTACACAGGAGTAACCCTAAGAACTAACATTTAGAAGAAAAAGGTCAGGTTATAAACATTTGAAATTATAAATATGTTTAATGGTCTTTCTGAATTATAAATGTGTTTAGGGGACTTTCTGAATTACTGACACCCCCTCTTCCCCAAGTTATAGTAATAAGAATTACTAGGAGGTAGGGGAAACACTGGCACCAAAATTTACCCCTTACTCATTCAGTGTACAGCATGCTTAAACTGTTAAAGAATTAATATATTGCAAACACATGCTTTAAAGTAACAGGTCTTCAATTCAATAGACACAACATTTAAGGCAAACTAAGGTGGTGATGTATGCGTCGCAGATGAATAAACCTAGATACCGATCTATGAACAGGAAGAGAAGGCAATTACTAATCACAGAGATTAATAGAGTCAGGTAAGTTTCAGAACAGAAAGTCTTTCCTTTCACCACAGCCACCTCAGCCATATCCCCCATAATCATAAAGTATGAGTGGAATTTTAACAGTTGAAGAGATAAGGACATCTCAGTTATAAGCAAACAAATAAAAATGAGAAGGTAGAAGGCATAGGCTGAAAATGGTGGATGGCCTCATCATGAGGATCAGGAAGGGGTGAGAGCAAGCAAGGGGTGGGTAAGGCAGCAAAAGAGTGTAGAAAAGTAAGGTTAAGTCTATATTAAGAAAGACATTAATATCACTTTTCCCCTTTCCTACTTCCTGTGTGATTGCAGAACATCAATGCTATCTTAAATTTTTAAATGAAAGGTTCTGTGACCTGATAAGATCTGTGATTTTACATAAGTATTGTGAGGTAGTACAAGATTAACTAGAAAAATAAGAACAGAGGTAGGGAAAAACATCTGAATATTTAATGTCCATCTACACAGTTACCAGACATCTAAGATGAGCAACCTCAGTTCTCACCCTTCATAGATTATATTCTAGCTCCTCACACAAGGTCTTATATGTGTTGGCTCAAAAGTTTGTCAAATAAATCACATGAAATGTGAGTGTTAAAACAGAAATACGAACAAGTCAGTAGAAGAGCTTGAATAAGGGAGGGTAATGAATTTGGGCACAAGCAGCACTTGAAGTGAGCCCTGAAGGATGAACAGAGGAGAGAATAAAAGGTATTTCCTATTTTTAAAAAATGCTAATTTGAACAATGATATGGAGAAATGACTAAAAAATGCACAGGATTTGATATACTGTGGGTAGACCCATATAATCGGAGCACACAGTGTGTGGGAAGAAATAGAAGGAAAGCCATACAGATCCACTAAGTTAAGGACACATTATGAATAATATTGAATGCCAGATCCCCACTCTGAGGTATGTATACCCGTGCGTACATGTGAGTGTGCCAAGTCGTTTGTGTGCTAAGCTACAGGACAAGTAAGATACACTTTTCTTGGATCCTCATTTTCATTTGAAGACTTGGATAAAATCTTTATATAAAAACAAACTTATGCCGGACGCAGTGGCTCACGCCTGTAATCCCAGCACTTTAGGAGGCCCAGGTGGGCGGATCACGAGGTCAGAAGTTCAAGACCAACCTGGCCAGCATAGTGAAACCCTGTCTCTACTGAAAAAATACAAAAATTACCCAGGCATGGTAGCACATGCTTGTAGTCCCAGCTACTAGGGAGGCTGAGGCAGGAGAATAGCTTGAACCCAGGAGGCAGAGATTGCAGTGAGCCGAGATCACCCCATTACACTCCAGCCTGGTGACAGAGTGAGACTCCGTCTCAAAAACAAACAAACAAACAAAATATAACAACTTACTATAGAAATGATGCATAGATTTCTTTTGAAGAAAAAAATGCAGGAGTGCAAACAAATCCTGAGCACTTAAGTATTTGTTTCTTCCACCTGAAGTCTTGAGGAGTCTCATTCAGTATGTAACCTTTTTCTTATTTTTCCTGTTTTTAGCTGGGCAGCCACTTTTCACAGTGCAGCTGACTTTCAACTAAGCTTTCCATTTTTAGCTCCTTCTCCATCCCACCTTTGTGAAATTCCTAGTGTCTCCAATTCCTAAGCCTATCTGGTATATTAACTGGCCTGCCCCTTTAGGCACTCAGCCTTCTCTGTGGTGCTAAGACAGTTACCACCTAACCATCTGTGTTTCAGTTTCCAAAATTTTGTTACATTTCTCAATCTGTTTTCACCTTCTCTTCCATTTTCTTTGGTTCCTTGTAGCTTTATGCCTTTGTGTTTTTTTTAAAAAGCCCTTTTCTAAATACACCTTCTAGTCTTAAGACTAAGCCAGCACCCTGTTTCATAAACTTCTACCTATAACTAGTTATACATATATCTTTTTATCTTCACTGGGCTATAAATTTCCAGAGGACAGAATATTTAATTCACTTTTTTATCGCTAGAAACACAGTATTTGACATTCAGTAGGTAAGAGATACATGCTAAAGTGAACAAATTGACTTGATAAACATAGAAAGGTCTTGTGAGAAAGTTCTTTGCTGATTAAAAAGAAAGGCTAGGCCGGGCGCGGTGGCTCAAGCCTGTAATCCCAGCACTTTGGGAGGCCGAGGCGGGTGGATCACAAGGTCAAGAGATCGAGACCATCCTGGTCAACATGGTGAAACCCCGTCTCTACTACAA